TTGCCGGGATGTTCGGTTTTGAGTTTCGGAGAGTTTTGGGACACTTAGTCCCTAAATGAGAGCTTAAGTGTTGGAAAGTTGACCGTATTCAGAACAGTGTAAAGACGGTCTCGGAATAAAAATCTGATGGTTCCGTTAGCTCCGTTAGGTAATTTTAGACTTAGGGGCGTGATCGGATTGTGCTTTGGAGGTCCGTAGCTAATTTAGGCTTGGAATGCCGAAAGTTGAATTTTTGAAGTTTCCGGTCCGAGGGTCAGAATGGAATTCCGAAAGTTGGGGTAGCTCCGTAGTGTTCAATGTGACGTGTGTGCAAAATTTTAGGTAATTCGGATGAGGTTTGATAGACTTTTTGATCGAAAGCGTCTTTTAAGAATTTTGGAGTTCTTAGGCTTGAATCCATGGTTTTTAGGTGTTCTAAGGATTGATACAAGTTTGGATAGTTGTTTGTGACTTGTTGGTGCCTTTGGTTGAGGTCCCGAAGGCCCCGAGATGATTTCGGATGGTTGACAGAAGAATTTTGGAGTTGGAAGGTTGCAGCTTCAGCTGATATCTCTCATAACCGCACTTGCGGTTTGGGTTCCGCAGTTGCGAAGCCGCAGAAGTGGCGTTGTCACCGCAGAAGCGAAAATAAGGAGGAGTAGCAGAGGCCGCAGATGCGGAAGGATTTACGCACCTACGTAACCGCAGATGCGGTGAGAAGGTCGCAGGTGCGAAATTTGGGATTTTAATGAGTTGTCGCAGATGCAACTTTTGTTCTGCAAAAGCGGGACCGCATCTCCGCAAATGTGGAAATCGCTGGCCAGAACATATAAATAGTTGTCTTCGCGAATTTGAGCTATTCTTTTACCATTTTCATCCGGGTTTGGAGCTTTTGAGAGAGACTCTTGAGGAAAACAAAGGGGAATCACTTGGAAGTAACATCCTTGACTTCATAACTCGTTTTTATGTGATTAAAGACCTAATTAGTGGTGAAAAATTTGGAAAAAAATGGGTAATTAGGGCTTGAGTTTAAGAGACTTTTAAATGAGGATTTGAGGGGTCATTTGGACTCCGATTTCAATGTTCTCGTATGTATACACTCGTGAGAGTACGAGGTTTCTGAAAATATAAATTTCACCCGATTCCGAGACGTGGGCCTGAGGGGCGTTTTGGTCATCATACATAATTTTGCGTATTACCTTAGAATTTAACTATAGAATCAGTTACTTGAAGTGTTATTTACATTATGAAATTGAATTGAATAGATTTGGGCCATTTGGAGTCGAGTACTCGTGGCAAGAGCGTGGTTTCAGATTGATTTTTGAGCCGGTTCGAGGTAAGTGGCTTGTCTAACCTTGTGTGGGGGGACCTTCCCCTTAGGATTGATATATTTGGTAATTGAAATGCCTTGTACGTGAGGTGACAAGTGCGTACTTGTACTAATTATTGAAAATCCGTTTTTCTTTACGTAATTACTAATATGTTTCCTTTCCTGTTTCTATTACTTGTTTTATTAAGCCTGTTGTTAGCTTAGGAAAGCATGTCTAAGTGACTTAATTGCTTTATTTGTTCAACCTGCCTTGAATTCTGTGCAACATGCTAGGCTAGAATCACTTGTTGCCTTAATATGAAGTCTTACGATTTCTGTATATTTTTTTCCTGTTGTTGCTGTGTATTTATTTTGGGACTACGGATATGGAATTTCGGTAGCTCCCCTTGTCTGTTTATTTTGGGACTACGGATGTGGGCTTTCCGGTAGATCCCCCTGTAAAGTTATATGGAAGTACGAGAATGCACCTAGTAGATTCCCCCAATACTGGGTATTTACATTTGGGACTATGGAACGGGATTCCGGTAGATCCCCGCGCACTATGAGCTGGACTATGGGACGGGATCCTGGGAGATCCACTGGATATGTACAGATGGGACTACAGGACGGTATCTTGGGAGATCCCCTATTGTTATTATTGGTGTTGAGCTGTATTTCCTTTTCATGTTTACCTTGTTTCTGTATAGTTGTTGTTGTCCTGTACATCCTATGTTATTTTACTGCCGCACTTATTTATACTGTTCTGTTCTATACTGCTGATCTTTATATTTTATTTAACCTCAGTAGAGCCCTGACCTTCCTCGTCACTACCCAACCGAGGTTAGGCTTGGCACTTACTGAGTACCGCTGTGGTGTACTCATGCCCCTTCTGTGCATGTTTTTCATGTGCAGATCCAGGTACCGCTATTCAGGCCTACCATCCTTGAGGGAGGCGACTGCTCTAGAGATTTCGAGGTACATCTACCGCATCCGCAGACCGAGAAGTCCCTTTCTATTCTAGATGTTAAAGATTGCCCTTCTGTATGTTTTTTCTTTCTTGTTAGATATTCTGGAGTTAGACTGTTAGATATTCCAAAGGCTTGTGTTTCCGTGAGTTTCCGGGTTTTGGGATAGTGTACTTGGTTTTGAGAATGTTGTGTTGTATATGCCGAGCGGCATTATACCTATTGTTCCATTCAGTTACTTTTGGGTTTTGGTTATTTTCTTCCTCAAGTTTCGTTTATGTTCCGCATTTGTTAAGTTTACCTAGTCGTAGAGACTAGATACCGTCATGACAATTTACGGAGGGCGAACTGGGGTCATGACATCATCCCTTCTTCAGAAGCTTGCCAACCTAAAAGCCTCCTAATCTTGCTTGACCCACCCTCATCAGTCCGTCCTCCGTCATGGTATCAATTTACTCCCCTGAGACTCAGCGTCCGCGCTGAGGTTGTTGAGATAGATTCGGCTCTGATACTATATTTGTTATGACCCAAGCCCATGATACGTATTGTCCACTTAGGTCTTAGGACCGCACATATTTATCTTTTTAGCCTATGTCACATTAAGCCCCAAAAGCACGCGTACCATGTGAACTTGTGACATACCTTATAATGTTTTTCACAGCCTCTCCCATGCTGATATGGTATTCGCCTAAGATAACATGTGCATCAATTCTTCAGAAGCTTGTCAGCCCTCTGTCATGGGCATAGAACAAAAAATATAATCATAAAATGTGAAAATCAAACATCAATTAACTAAGGAATAAATATCATCATTTAGCTATTGTATTCATTTTTCTCTTATATTCATTAGAACTAAGCAGGATTGACAATAACTTGAGCATGTTTTTGAGGCACGCATTACTTTGGTAACTTTTATAAATTTATGAACACTATAATTTTATCTTTCGTATTATTTCACATATGCTGCTAATAGAGTACGTTAAAATTTGTTAAGGTACTGTAAAATTTGTTAAAATTTATGAACACTATAATTTTATCTTTCGTATTATTTCACATATGAACACTGAAATATTATTTCACAAACAATGATTAGTTCCTCAATATTAACGGATTCGATATTGACAAGAGAGGTTGCTCTGATGATAAGCAACCCCCACTTCCAACCGAGAGGTTGTGAGTTCGAGTCTCCCCAAGAGCAAGGTGGAAAGTTCTTGGAGGGAAGGATGGCGGGGGTCTATTTGGAAACAGTCTCTCTACCCTAGGGTAGGGGTAAGATCTGCGTACACACTACCCTCCCCAAACCCCACTAAGTGAGATTATATTGGGTTGTTGTTGTTGTTGATATTGACTAACTCGTCAACTTGGTGGATGAGATTCACCTTGATAGATCCTTTTGGCAAAGAAAACTTATTTAGAAGAAATAATAAAAATAAAAGACGTAGTTATTTACAGAAGTACGTATGATAAAGACCTTATAATATTTTATGTTATTTCGTTTTGTTGAAAATGAGAACCAATGTATGAGTGAAAATTGTTACACGTGAATAAGGAGAAGGCCAATTCTTGGTTGGACATTACTAGCCATATTGCCCTTTAAATTGTTGAAAGGACAAATAACATAATATTTACCTTCAATGGCCGGTTTCTATACTTAAAAGGCAATTGAATCTTGCTATTTATAATCAATCCATCTGTAATCTTTTTTGACAAAAATTATCTTGATTCTGATTCTGCAGACAAAGAGAATTTTCCAAAATTCTTGCCGTAAGGATGATACGTGTCGCCGTATCGGATAATATATAAAATCCTTTCAATTTCATGGTTGTGTTACGGAGATTCAAAGAGAATCTTAAATAAATCCAACCATTAAAAACTGAGAGGTTGCCTAAAGTAAATAATAAATATGTTTGATATAACTATGAACATTTTCTGTTACCGTTAAAGGTGTGACTTGATGGATGAATTTCTCTAATGTTAACCAGAGGTTTTAATGTCTCAGGTTTGAAAATAGAGAATAGAGAAATCCTTAATAAAAGCGCTTTTGCATGATTAGATGATAAAGTTTAACGATTACAATTATGTCTCGATCTTATATTGAAATTGATTATATAAATCCGGAATGACCATATTTCGTTTTCCACGAGAAACATGAACTCTTTCCTTTTCATGCTTCTGCATTCATTTGTTAGAAAACAATGATACCTGAAATTTTTTGGTTTTCTTAAATATATCATTGACGTATTATATTGCTCTCTTCACCGTATTAGATAGAGATTCCATCTCCATACATAATGTTCTCGCTTTTAGCCAAAGGAATCATTCAAAGAAATTATATATTTACCCAAAAGCTCAAACATGTGCACTTTATTTATTGCAAATTGCAATAATTAACCCACTATATACAAAAATGATCACGTCCAACTCTAATCCTAGCTTAATAAATATCATTCGCTACAAATATTAACCGGTCTAAAAATTCGAAGTCGAATCCCACAAAGAATTAAAATTTCGCTATAACTGTTCAATATCACTAAAAAGACAAGCTCTAATAAATTCCTAAGTTATAAAATTGTGATTCTTATTTTAAACTAATTAACTAACAATTAAAGTATTAAATTAATAACTAGGGACACTAAGGGTTGGAGACAAGATTAAGAAGGCACTACAAAAAAGCAGTGTACTTGCAGCGGTTTTATTACGGGGGTTATTGTTAACCTCCCCAAATCTATATATATCTATAACTGAGGGGCATAGCCTAGTAATGTGGCATGCGAGGATTTCAAGTTATCTTTTTTCTCAATTTTTTTTTACCTTTTCTCTATTATTTTGCTTTTTTTTTTCTCTTTGTTTCAATTTTTTTGACCGTTCGGTTAAACACTCAAAAGTCATGCCCTTTCGTAACCCTTTTCATTAAACCTGCCTCTATTAATCATTATCTTACTTAAGAAGAAGAAGCGTTTCAACAGAGCCCAACTGCTATATAGTTCAAAAGTCTTTTTCTGAATAAGAAAAAAAAACTCAAACTCAAGTTTAATCTTTCATTGAACAAACAACTTTTATGCCGTCGGAAGATGGCTTCAACGTATTGCCGATTTACATTGAGATTTTTTGCCTTCTTCCACTTTCTATGTAAAAGAGGTTAGTTTTCTCATCATCGTAAAAATATTATAGGCTGTCTATGCCGATTACCACTTCCATTGTGTTGCTAATTTGACGTATCTTCTGATTCTTCATAATGAATTTTGTTACATTGGAAAGAAATCCTGAAATTTAGCTTTCAAGAAGAATTTGCAAAGTAGTTAAAAAGGCAAAAAGACTTGAAAAATGAATAGTGTAATTATTATGGCTATATGTATTAATAGTCCCACGTCCCTTGAAACTCGATTGTAACACCCCGTAAATTTGGCTCAGGTATGAATGAGTTAAAGGAGTAGTAAGGTTATATTTTGGGTATGTAAAGTCCCATCGGGATGATTATGGGTGAAAATAGTTATTTCAAAATCAAGATGGAAAGTGAGGTGCATAAAATTTGACAAAATCGACTAAGTTTGCAGAGAGTTCGTATTCCAGAAGGTTTTAGTGAAAATGAGTAAGGAATTTAGGAAAACTCAAAGCATGAAATGGTAGGCCTTTGAAATAGCTTTCCAATGATATATTATAGAGCTTGCACAGATCTTTGTGCAAAAAGTTATGCGCGTTTTACAGAACAGTATGCGATATGCGCGCCAGTAGCACGCCCTTAGCGCGTCCGCGCTAATTTTGAGGTAGTGTTACTGCCGTTTAGCACTGGCAGGCCTCCAGATGTGCGGGCGCGCTAGTGGGGGGTCATTTTAAAGCTATATTTCGTCCCCCACAGCCCCAAAATATAAAAACTTGCTCTAGAAAGGAGAACTCTCAAAAACCTAACTCTCTAAGGGTCCTTCCACCACCCAAGGTAAGTTCTAATGGTGATTCTAAGTTAATTTCAATATACCAATGTCTTATTAACATGGGTATACCCTCCATATCATTAGATATTCGTTTGGGGCATCATTATTGAGAGAAAAAACCCTAGAACTCGAATTCAAGAAGATTGAATGTCAAAAAGGTAATGTCTTCACTCTCTAGTTGATTCTAGCATTGGATTAATGATTATTGACTCAAGTTCATGAGATATGAGTTGATGGGTTTGATAGAAAAGCATGAACAATTATAGGTTTGGCTTGTTGGTTGTTGATTATTGGTTAAGGGTGTTGTTTACCTTATGGGTGATAAAGAATAATGTTGATTATAACTATTTGAGACTTTAGAATTTATCTAGGAGCAAGAGAATGAGTTATTGGGTGTAGAGACACCATTAATAAGGACTATGAAGCTTTATGCCACCAAGTGTTTGAGAAAATGCCTAAGTGACCAAAACATGAGTATTATTGCTAATACGGAATCCCTTTGACTTGTATTGATATAGATTGAAGTTGAAGGGATTGACGAACATTGTATTATGCTCAAGAGAAGGAAGTTAAGTTATGTGAGGCTAACTCTCTATGTTTGGGAATATTAATGATTCTCCCTATACTACGTTTCTTTTACGACGGATCAATTGCCTCAAAAAATATAGTTAAGCCCAGTTCCTTGAATAGTTGTAGAGCTTCTATTCTCTAGCTTCATAACTCGTTCATGACATTCATTCTGAACGTTGTGAGCTCAGTGCGTATTCAATATAGACTTGGGTTTGATGTCCCCGAGTCTTAATATAGATTACTCAGTATGCCATAAACAGTTGAAGTTTCAGTGTTCATAATCAGTTCAAGAATATATGTCTCAGTCTAGTCCTATTCAGTATCCCAGTTTATGTAACTCAATGTGATTCAGTATTTCACTATCATATATTGCAGTATGATTCTCAGTTTCTGATTTTAAATCCCTGAATGTTGAACATTTGTATTTGCGCCTGAGGTCGCAGTTTATGCTTTATGCATCTTTGGGCCTGAGGCCGCAGTTTATGCTTTATGCATCTTTGTGCCTGAGGCTGCAGTTTATGCTTTATGTATTTTGGACTTGAGGTCGCAGTTATATATACGTATACTTGGGCCCGAGGCCGCAGTTTGTGCACATATATATATTCGGCCCGAGGCCGCAGTTTAATATTTAGATAAACAGGTTGTTCATCATTCAGAAGAGGGAGTATTCATATCCTTACTTCCTTTCAGTTCAATTATTAGTTATCGTTCAGTTATCAGTTATTAGTCCAGTTATCATTTATTAGTTATTATTTCATTTATCAGTTATCAGTTATCATCAGTTTTAGTTTCAATAGTTATCATTTCAGTTATCAATTATCAATTCTCAGATATCAGCTTAGTTTCAGTTTCAGCATTTATAATTCTTTCTTTCAGTTGCCTTACATACCAGTACAATTCAAATGTATTGACGTCCCTTTTTGCCCAGGGCCTGCATCTCACAATGCAGGTAAGGATTTACAGGTCGACGACACAGAGCGCTAGGATTCTCGTACCAGCTGTTTGGTGATCCCCAGTTCTTTCGGGGCATTATCATTACTTTACAGCCTTTCAGTATTTACAGACAGTCAGTGTCTTCAGCACTTCAATAGAGGCTTCATAGACTAGAGTAACAGTTAGACAGAGTCTCAGACTTTTTATGTTAAGCCATGTTGGCTGCCAATATGTTTAAGAATTGTATTAATATTTCTGCACTTTGATTTATATCATCCAGACTTTCAGTATATCAGCATATGTTAGTTTATCTTCCTCATTTAGTATGTTATGATATCACATGTTGATTCAGCCAACCAGTTGGTTCGCTCGGTCACATGTAGTCAGGCACCGAGTGCCATGTTACGTCCAGGCCCAGGTTCGGGGCGTGACATCGACTTTCCTTAAAACTTCTTGCATAGAGGAAAAATGTTGCAACTCAACTAATAGGAAAAACTATTATAAAAAGATACGTCTTGCAAATTTCAAAATACCTTTGTTTGTGTGATACATTCTGTGTTGTCGAGTGATCCACGTACTTAAGTGCATGTATTTTGGAACAGGTCGGGTTTTGGTTAATTTGTTTATTTCCTACACACGTGGATGTGTAAAAAAGGTTGACCGACGACTCAATTTGGTGTTGCTTTTTTCCCTGAGAATAGTAACAGTCAGTTTGACGTTGCATCTTCTCCCTTATAATTCATTACCGCTAAAAAGCATATCTTAAAAAGAAATAAAATAAGAATTGGATTGTTCAATTGTGTACTTTATTACGAACTCCTTAATTGAATAATTCTGGAGATTTAATAATTAAATAATTTTTTTCTTTAAATCTACTTCACATACTATTTTTCAGTTTTTTTTAGATGTTTCTCAAGCACAAATCTTATAAGCTTTTGTCTGCCAGAGTGGGATATCTTTAAACAATTAATTCCTCCACCATGTTCTTTTCAAAATTATACATTGCTTTGTAGGTGCATGTATATTTTTTAAAAAAAATACTTTGTTTGATTTTAGCAGTACAATTTCCTACTTTCATGATTTTGACTTTAATAAAAAAAGAAAAGAGAATTTCTCTACATTTTGCTTCCTCTCTTGAGTGAAGTTGTGGGGCTATAGTTTTTTAATTGGCATCAACAACTGAAAACCATATAAGATGGTTAAAGGAAGAGGGAAAATTGTCTCTCTCGAGACATTTTGCTGACTATATTGTGGAGCATCAAAGCTGAAATTCCTCTTGAAAAATAAGAATTGTAGTGTCTCCAATGCTCCACGAGTTGTATGATTTGCACAAAGATTTTTTCCTTTTCAGTTGTATAAAATTTCATAATGCGTTTCCATTTCTTTTTCATCTTTTATATTCATAATGTATTTCTACATGTAGACTCGCGCTGATGGGATAGATGAGCCATTTGCACGGCATAAACAAATAATTTTTGAGAAAACTATGCATGAAAAATATTATTTGGTAAATTATATATATTACAGTTTTAATTTCCCTTTACCCCTATTTTTGTAAGAATAAATAAAACTTTGATTTCGTACATATAATATTATTTTCAGAGTGGAGTACACTGTACAATATACATATAGGACGAGAATTAGGCTTTGTTTTTCTTGGTGTTGTTGCTCTAGGCTTGGCCAAAGTTGCATTAACTTTTATTTTAATACCTTTTTTATATTAGGACCTAACCTTCATGCATGATCTAATTTTAATGTATTCACGTAAGGATGTAAGGTCTATGGCATGGTACGGTGAAGCTAGCTCCAATTTATAAGTTCTTCTGGAGTTTCAAGACCGAGTCAAAGTCAAGAAGCAAGGTTTAAGATATCAGAGCAGGGTGTGCTCATTTTTCATTCTTTATGCGCTATTAAAACATTGGAAAAATATTGTTATCTGTTTACAAAATTTCTGCCAAAGCTTCATTTCTAGGAACATGATGGAGTTTTGTGGCTGCTGAACACTAAATGTTGTTCTTTCCTTTCTCATAAACTGTACGCGTGGTACGCCTTCTATTTTTTGGTAGATCTATTTTATCTCTTTAGTTGTTCAAGAGTGCCATAACTTTATTTTTAGGCCTTTTATTCTTATCATGAATAGTTTTGGATAGTCTAAAAGGACTTTCATTTGTGATCTGTTTTAGTTGGTGCCAAAATGGAAAAACATAATGCAAGATTATATATATTGTAGCACATTCAATTTCAAAAGGGAGTACATCCATCTAATGTGCTTTACTTTTTTGTTTATTTAAAGGAGAAGTTCAAATGTTAAATGTAACTTCAATGATCTTCGTTATAGAAAGAAGCTCAATTATTTGTAGCTTTCAACGTCATGGATGTTGTACATTTAAAATTTAGTATAAGGAGTGTGGCATGAATTTCAAGTTCACATTGCATCTCCAAGATGTTTCTTTTGCAACTTCTTGCATGACCTATGTCAAGGCCATGAACTTATAAATTGTATTTTTAGACTTCATATTTAATCATTAACCAAGCGATGTCAAGAGGAAGAATTGTTCTTCTCCATTTCTTTTAGTAACACACTTAATTGATTACACTTAATTGATTAGCAAAACTTGATTTTGCTTAGCAAAATTAATGATATTAACTATTTGATCATATCCTGATTTCACTTCATAACCGCGCAAAGCGCGGCATATTCACTAGTTGTATCTAATTAGGGGGGTCTTATTAACCTCCGCACTGAAATTCAATTTGCGGCGTTTAGAAACCTCCGCTAGCCTTAAAAAAAAGGTACTCCTTTATTTTTATTTTTCCCTCTTTTTTCCCGAAATTTCCGCCAACGATTGTATCCCTCTTATTTTTATTTTTCCATTTTTTTTCCAGAAATAACTTTACAAATCTCCGCTCTTCACTCTAACGATTTAGGGTTCGCTTTCTCCTCCTGAAATAGCAAGTTCTCTTTTTCTCTTTAATCTCCCATTGTCTTTCACTCTAACAATTTAGGGTTCACTCTAAGTTGCGATTTAATGTGATATCCGATTGCGAAAATATTTGTGCATTGCGAAAATAGTTGTGCGAAATCAGTCTCTACATTGCGAAAATAGTTGATATCCGATTTTAATTCCTCTAAGTTTGATATTTGTGTGATTTTAATGTGAATTTCAGCAATTACAACTCAATTGAAGCGTGTTTGTCGCTGAATCTCCTGACAAAAGGTACAACTCGAATTGCAACTCTCTGCCCTCTCCTTACTAATTTGTTTATATCCGATTTTAATTCCTCTAGGGTTTTGAGTATGTTTTCCTAAAATCTGAATTTCAGTAGTTTCTGCATGTGATTTTATTTAGGTTTCTCTGCTCCAATTTCAATAATTTTTCCATGTGATTTGATTTAAGTTCTCTCTGCTCCTTTTTTGTTTTAGAAGAAGAAGGTTTTTTCCTCAACTTCAAAACTCCAGTAATTATAATAGTATTAGGCAGTCATCTTCTTATTTCTGATAGGATGAACTAAGAAGAAGAAAGCTACTAAGAAGAAGTAGACAATATTCAGCTTTTATTATTTTCCCTCTGTTTGTATGAAGTTGTTGAAAGAATTAGAGGGTTTTATCTTCTAAACTCATTCTATGATTGAAAAAAAAAGTATAAAGATTGAATTGTTGTTCTCATATTGTTATAGTTGTGTTTTAGTAGTAACTGGCTAATTGATGTTTATTTATGATTCAAGTTGTTACATATTTCATTTAAATGCAAAGAATATCGGTATTCGAAACTCAGTTCGCTGAACTATTCGACGAGGCCGCCTCTGAATTAGTAAGTGAGGTTTTGAGCTGAATTTGTGTACATCTGTACCTCTTGAAGAAGTCCAATAGAGCTAATAGGCATATTTGGTTCACAACAGATGGAGAATTATGAGTGTTGGAGTAATAGGAATATTTGATTTTTAGTAGCATTTGGATTTTGTAAACCTTTCCTATACATTTATTCTAAGAATATAAGTTGTTCTGGGGTTGGACTCCACCTTGTTGGTCTTGTCAATTTTTCTCTTTTTAGAAAAGACATGTTTTTTCTTTTCTTGGGCTTGAGACTGAAAAGGTTAAGGCTTAGATCAACGGATTAAACTGTTTGGAGAATGAGGTTTTTCATAGGTATATATCGAGGAAAATGTGATAGAAAAATTTAACAAAATATTTGGCTTCTGTGAAGTGTGGACAGAATGGTTGTAACATATACTTTGAGGTTGTCAAACTCATTTTATGGTTGTGTGCGACCATTAGCTTTATATGAACATATTTGAACATCTTATGCAACTAAAAATAACTGATAAGTATGAAGAATCACGTCATGAAATATTCTTACATCTTTGGTTGGGCTCTTGGTTTTTCCTTTAACTATTTGTAAATTGAGGTAATAACGACTCAATTAACAAGACTCAAGGTTCAAAATAATTACTAATGATGGGATTTAGATGGTTGGCTTTGTGGATTTTCTACTATAGACTTGCTTCTTAAGGCTTATGAGATGGAGTATTGTTGTTTTGGTTATCATTCTCTTAGAAAAATTATCAATACAGATGAGGATTCCCTTTCTGCTGTGGGATTTTTGTGCTGTTCCTCTCTATAAAGTCCCTTAGCATTGGTCCATCTGTTGAATGATAATAATGGAGATAAAGCTGTATTTAGGTTCCATGGTAACAATCAATCACATTCTTGCCTAATGTTATCTTTGTAGTAATATTTTTAGTTATCTTATTATGCTATTACAATGACATCACCAGCTCCCAAGAACCATCCAATGAAAGTAGAAAAAACTGGGCAAATGAGGGTGGATGGGGGTGGGGGGCTATGGGGTAGTTTCTCTATAATCACAAAAGCAAGATAGATCACAAGAATCCTTTGGTGATATTATGTGTCACACCTCCTTTTTACATACCCGCGAGGGTACAAGGGAGTTTTTTTCGATTAAAGGACAATCGAAACGGGATTGGTTTATTTATTTCAGAGTCGCCACTTGGGAGATTT